GATAATCCTTTTCTCAACATTTTATATTGGAAGATTCATTTAACTCAGGCAAAGGCACCACATCTTAATCACCGGGGATGAACAATACTTATCAAGAATCAGGTAAAACCAGACTTTACCAGGGAATAAATGTGTGTTACGTAGAGACAGTGACAATAAAATAAATGAGGTACCTTCATCCTAAAAAAGGTGATACTCGTTAGCAGGTCAACAGTTGATTTCAGGTCTTGCAGTCTTTCAGCATTGCTGGCAGGAAAGTGTTCCTGGTTAATTAGAAAACAGAAAATGGGTAAATTCTCAGCATTAAGCCTCCAGTGGGAAATAAACTAGCTTTCTGTGGAAAAACATAAAATGGCAAGTAAATCATGCAAAATTTAGGAAGTATCACCACAGTATTCTCACAACATTTTTACCATAAAATATTACAGAGGGTAAAAAAGTTGGGGATAGTCTTGTCTTAGTCTTAGAAAGTCATTCTTCTATTTATTCCCATAATATAATAAAAATGTACATAATAATATCATCAATGCAGCACTATTAGGTTACTCATCTTTGATTCATAAAATAGTATTCTTACTGAAAGAGGTAAGGTCAGTATCTATTTGAAAGTTATTTTTTATATTTTTCTCAAGATGGGTTATTTTTTTGAAAATACTTTTGGGAGCCTTTACATGTGCTATATTTACTTTTTGTTACAAAGAAACTTTTAAAAGTTAAAAAGATAAAAATTAGACTGCACTGTACTTCTCTACAAAAAGTATTTGGGATTTAAACAAAAAGTTTGGTGAGAAATGTCATATAAAAGCAGATGTTCAGAATTCTGAAGAAAAGGAAAGGTATAATTATTAAAATATTGAAGAAAAGATTTTAGCATTGAGAAATTTCTCATATTAAGATGCTTTCAGATAGGCTTCTTAAAGAGTCATCAGAAAAACCACTGGTAACTTTTCTTAATAGATATTCAAGAAGTCAAGCAAAGTTGGGGTGTCAGTGATGGTGAATGTGGTGGCCTTAAGGTCCTTCTTGTCCCCAAATGTCATTTTCACTGCCTGACATAGCAGTTCCCTTCTCATACTGTTGGCCCCAGTTCCAACATGATAGATGAATCAGACAAAATCTGGTATTATAATTTCCAGAAATGTGCATTAAAAAGATTCTTCAATAAAAGACAAAAAAAGATGAATATTGAAGAGATACATATGTGAACATATGTAAACACATTTAGAATAAACCATTAAGTAAAGAATACAATAGCTATTAGTACAGATTTTTTGGTAAATAAAACTTGCAATTAATTTTTTTTTTTTGTAATTAACGTATTCTGTAACTAAAATATGTGTGTTTTTATGCACATACATGAATATATTTGTGTGTGTGTTTCACCTGGAGGTAAAGTATAGAACTATTCACAGTGAACTCTGGAAAGCTTCACAAACACACACTGTATTGATCTGGGAGTGAACTAAGCAGTGACTAATCTCAGAAGCCGAGGAAGTATCAGCAGGATATCTCATAAGAAGGGGGAGCTTTCAAGATGAGGCCTGGGCCACATACTTCTACTTCATGAAGTAGCAGTGGGCCACTCAATCTGATGACTATTAAAATATTTAAAGCTATATGTGTACACGCACACAGAGTATTGTAGGCTGAAGTGGAGTGAGGTACCTGGACAAGGGATGTCTACTTGATTATTTAGGAGACCTGCCTACTGTGACAGGACACAAGATTCCAAGATTATTAACTTGACTTCTCTCTTACACAGTGGATAACATTTTTACAATATGACAAGAAATGATCTGAGCCAAGCACAGCATTTAACCTTTAGGCAAATAATTTTGTACATACCCTATACTTTGACAGGTCAATTCTTAAAGAGTTATGCAACTGGTCCAGTAGTTTTATGAATTTTTCCCTCTGTACAAAGCAAACACAAAATAGGAAAATGGAAATCAATGATCATTCTAAATATAGCCCTCACAACAAAACCTGTCTGAGTTATGGTCCCCATTTTATAGAAGGTGTGGTGTTTAGTCTTCATTTCTGTCTCTTTGGTGACTACCCCCCCCCCCCAATGCACTGTAGCCCACCAGGCTCCCCTGTCTTTGGAATTTTTCAGACAAGAATATTGGAGTGGGTTGCCATTTTATTCTCCAGGAGATCTACACAACCCAGGGATCAAACCCATGTCTCCTGCATCAGCAGGCAGATTCTTTACCACTGAGCCACCACAGAAAACCATTTTATAGGAAGGAAGGTCAAAAATTGTCAGTTATTTCTCCCCAATCATAGAGCTGGTATGTGTAATAGCTGTGATTCAAGCTCAGGTCTCTGACACCAAGTCCACACTCTTTCTGTAAGTCACATTGCCTCTCTCTGATGAATGAGACAGTATCCAGAGAGTTGTGTTAGAAAGTCCAGACAACACGGCAGTATGAGTCAGGAAGAAAAATATAACCCAACCTCCTACAACCCTCACGTGCCACACCATCTCTCCAAAATTAAACCATAGTTTTTTAAAGTTCTCCCATCTATGGAAGCAGGAATAACTGCTCTTTTTATCAAAATCAATTTCAAAAAGCACTTCCCTTTTGGTAATAGACTCATAATCTTAAAGGATCGACTGCCTTTACAGTATATTTATGACTTAGTGATTAAAAAAAAAAAGTATAAAAATCAGGTGAACAAAAACTACTGATGCCTTCCTCTGATGCTGTTCAGTGTTGGACTGACCTCTTCCGAGAAGGATTTGAAGATGATAGATGATAATAATTAAGTAGTTTTGCTAAAAATCATAAAGATATAGGTGTGTGGATTAAACAAATTAGATAAGGTAAAAACATCAAAGTCACACGAAAAAAGTTATGGGTTGACAAAAACCACTCCGAGTCCCTGATACCTAAACAAAAGTGAAAAAAAAATAGGGAGATGGTTAGATGACATTAAAGGCTTACCCCTACATTAATATTCTGCAAATACTACATTACACTCTGCAATATATTAGAAAAAGTAGAAATTTTTTCCAGTAGTTTCACATATAAGGTAGATTTATGGGGTATATAACTAATATTCCTTGGAGTCACTGATCTTGATGGAATGAGCTGAATATTAACAGGAGCTGATAAATTGTTCCTAAGTTGAGACTTCAATGTTCTGAATAAACTGCCTTTTATCAGGTTTATACATCAGTGAACAAAGTTTGAGTATGGTTTCTGTGTTATAACCCCTGTGGTGGCAATGAAGGAGCCTAAGAAATGAAACTTGTCTTCCAGAAGCTTGTCATCTTATTAGGCAAGTAAGATTCTCCAGGAAAGCTGTCAAAAAACACAATGAATGTCTTGGATTTTTCTTTCTTATGCCCTACATACCTTCCTAGGGGAGGAGGTGACCTATACTGCCCTTTATTAACCCCCCATCACCCACTGATGTGGGTCAGTGACTCTCAATCAAAACAGAAAAATAAAAGAGCCAGTACAATCATCAGTTTAGGTCACAGTAGTTAATCATTCGATGATCATAAAAATCAATGTGTCTGCGTCAGTTTCTGAATGCTCTGTGCGGCCTCTGTGATTGGTATGAATCATTAAGATAGCTGATGTGACACTAGTCAACCATGCTATGACCCAAACACAGTGGGACCAACTCATCTGGCCATCTGCCCAATATCCATTCTCCTTCTCTTCCTTACTAATAGAAACTCAAGAGTCAAATGTGTCCTTTATGAAACATTTATCTTCCCAGGCTCTTTTTTTTTTTTTTTTTAACCCTAGGAATGACCATGTAGCAAAGTTTTGGCCACTAAGATGTATCTAGTTTATTAAAGGAGATAGAACTAGCCAAAATATTACCAGTGAATTATTATTTAGAAAGATTCTAAAAGAATGTTCTGCAGAGTTTGTTGTATAACATTAGTGTTTGCCATATAATTCTTTGTCAGGCCATTTTTCCATTTGCCCTTTGTGTCCCTCCTTTTTCCACTTTAAACTCAGACTAGATACAAGAAGGTCAAATATACTGAGGCTATAAGATAAAAGCTAAACAAATGGTAAGAAGGATAAGGTGGGAAGCTAGGAGCCCCCACATTTCACCCTTAATTCTGGCTGTCCATCCTTTCAAAACATCGCAATCCTGAGCAGCTGTATTAGTCCTGAAATCCTTACCACCTCTGGACTTAGGTTACATGGGAAGAAAATATTGAGTTAACTTTGTTTAGTCTGTTTCACGCAGCTCAACAAAATTCTGACTGATACAGATTATGCATTTAGTCTTCCTACCGAGGTCTTCAGTGCCCAGCTGGACAATTACATTCAAAGAAAATAGAAAACTGGGGAGAAAACCACCAGGCTTGTTGTTGCTAAATCCCAAACAATATCAGATGATATGAAATTAAAAGTGTGCTGCTGATTGAATTTTCATAGACATTTTTTAAACAGCAGGACAGCTTGAAATTTAATTTTATTTACCATATTTCTATTTAGCTAGAGTGAGATTGGCTTTGTGAGAGCAGAGGGGGCCTATTACCTTCATGGTGTGATTTGAGAAACAAGAAAAGACTGTGTGATTAAAAAGTGTTTCCCAAAGGGCATGCCATGTTCCTGAAACTGCCACATTATGCCTGGTATTTGGTAGGGATCAAATCTGTAACATTAGCAGTAAGCATTGTCTGTTATCAAAAATTAAGTTTTAATTAGTTGACAAGAATAACTCCAGACGAGGGGTCAGCAAACTGCCTATGGGGAGCCAGACAGTAAGTATTTGCAACTCTGTGGTCTCTGCCGCAACTACTGAACTCTGCCACTGCAGCATAAGCGTTTCTACAACAATAAATAAATAAATGAGCATGGCTGTTTCCCAGTAAAACTTTGCTTATGGATACTGAAATGTAGATTTCATATGATTTTCATGCATCAAAAAATGGTAATCTTTTGATTTTTTAAAACTACTTAAAAATGTAAAAGCTATTCTTAACTATAAGCCACACAAAACCAGCTGGTGGGCCACTTTTGGCCCAAGGAAAGAGGGAGTTATTTTGAGTAGGGGGAGGCAGTTGTTATCCCACAAGGATATTCTTAATAAGTTTCCCTAGGACCCTGGGAATCGTGGAAGGATGATAAGGAAGGTGTGTAAGGATGATAAGGAGCCTCTGCATCATCCCCAGCTTCTCTCTGGATCCACCTGCTTCTCAGTATCTCACTCCAAAAGCAGTGGTAGATTTACCTGAGCTAAGGGTGCTTAAGCTCTGGGGGTCTTCACTTGATTCAGGTTCCCAGGGATGAGCCCTAGCTGCATGTTCAACCTGCTCTTAGGTTTTTACAAAATTTACGAGAATAGGATAAACGTATTCTGACCTGGACCAGAAAATAGTATTTTCTAGAAAGCATTTTCTAGATTATATCAAAAGCAGTCATTCTTTAGGCTGAACAGAAACATTTCAAGTAGAATTGATGAATAGGCTGTTTTGATAAATTTTTGATAATTTAATTAATGCTAATTGTATGAATATATTGGAAACGTATTTGCATTCTTTGTAGATATGAGATTAATACTGATATTCACAGGGATACCGTAAAATTATAAAATGCGAATGAAACAATGCTATCAATGACACACTAATTAATAAATGACTTAAATTCATGATATAAATTCAAAGAGTATATAGTCACTTAATAGGCAACTTGCAAAGCACTGAGATTTTATCATCCACTGAGCAAGAAAGCCTAATGTTTTGCTCAGTTTGACTAAACTTTAGATAGGCTTCTTCTTGACTCTGAGTCTTACTTCCAATTTTCATTTTTTTATTTTTAAAGCTCTTTTCTTTTTTAGGTTCCTTTTTTTTTTTTTACAGTAGTAAAAGATGTTTATCAGTTTTCACAATCAACAGGCTGACAAAAATAAAAGATAATTACAATTGCAAGCCATAAGGGGAACATGATTAACTTAACAATATAAAATAGTTACATACAATTTGGGGGGTCAAGCAGAGTGATATGGTAAGTGGAAGTCCATACACAAACAAGTGCACGTTTTCATCCTCCCAGCCAGTCTATGTCTTTGGTTGGTGCATTTAATCTATTTACATTTAAGGAAACTATTGATATGTATGATCCTATTACCATTTTCTTAATTGTTCTGAGTTTATTTTCTGTAGATCTGTTCCTTCTCTTGTTTCCTGCCTAGAGAAGTTCCTTTAGCATTTGTTGTACAGCTGGTTTGGTGGTGCTGAATTCTCTTAACTTTTACTTGTCTGGAAAGCTTTAGGTTTCTTTATCAAATCTGAGTGAGAGTCTTGCTGGGTAGAATATTCTTGGTTGTAGTTCTTCCCTTTCATCAGTTTAAACATACCATACCCTTCCATCAACATAAACATTCCCTCTGGTTTATAGAGTTTCTGTTGAGAAATCAGCTGACAGCCTGAGGGGAGTTCTCTTGTATATTATTGATCATTTTTCCCTTAATCCTTTAAATATTTTATCTTTGTAAACTTTTGTCAGTTTGATTACTATGTATCTTGGTCTGTTCCTCCTTGGGTTTATCCTGCCTGGGACTCTCTGGGTTTCCTGGACTTAGCTGACTATGTCCTTTCCCCATGTTGGGGAAGTTTTCAGCTATTACCTCTTCAAATATTTTCTCAGGTCTTTTCTCTCTTTTTGCAATTTGTTTTAGACATCATGGTTTGTTTTTTTTTTTTTTTCCTGTTTGTATTTCTCATTTTCTATGATTGCAAGCATTTCTTGTCATTTTATCAGATATTTCAGGTTTCTCAGGGATTTGGAAAAGGAACATACATGTTGGAACATGACTGTGTAATCAGGAGGAAGAGCTGCCTTTTTAAATTATTACATAAGTTTCAGGGGAACAGTGTTATAGTTTGACATATGTATACGTTGCATAGGGATTGCCACCACAAGTCTAGTTTC